ACAAAAATATATTATGTGTTGACGCATGTATGCAACAATACCAGTCTTACAACACCATTATGAATATACCAAACGTCATAGAGCAATTTGGCTGTGGCACCGTGACAAATTTGAGGGTTGACGCGACCGTATCGTCCCGTTCTTGCCTTTTCACCGAACGCCGGCAGTGAGTGGTTTCAGGATATGTTGTTTACTTGCGAGCTTAAGAAAACTTCGTCTAGTTTTTTCCGCTCTTCAAACGAAAAATCTCTTCTTTTCTTTTTTTTGTGAGGACAGTGTAGGTTGCTACCGTCTCTGTCGAGGAGGATCTGCAGCGCCCACTGTGTTGTCAACTGTAAGAACATAGTTACAGTGGCGCACACAAGGACAAGGGCAGAGAAGAGGAACACGTAGACGACAGACTCGCCCAACTGTGTACTCTACTAACTGTAAGAACGATGCCGAGGCACATTCCTCGTATGTGCCTTTTACTTTTTGTGCCAATTACAAGAAAGGGGCACCGGATGCAGGGAGGACAAAGAGGTAATAGTGACCTGATCTGTGTCACATAGTACAATATCTAATTGGATCACTTTTTAAGACGCTTAAGCGGTTTGAACACTGCCAACCACCACAGCCACCACCTGTGTAAGCTCTGTTCCTTCCGTGTCCCCTGAGGCTGGGTCGAGCGCAGACGGCGAACGTGATCGAGACGGACCTTCTGTCATCCGGGACCGTTTCCAAACTGTCGTCGACGTGGCAGCCGACGCTATGCCTTACACTGAAGCAGGTCTGTAACTTTGTGCCGGAATCACTTATCTGCAGTTAGTTGCATTTTTTTTTGCATAATCTGCGATGTTGGCAGTGAGCCGGCGTCGCCCCCTTCTAAAGGGAGACTAACCTCACGCTGCATACACTTTGCAATGTTTACAAATGCACTGCCGAGCATGCGATCTCCAGAGCCAAATAAATATTCATCTCTGTTGTTTTGGAAAGCGAGCAAAGCACGTGCCACAAGCACAAACTCTCGAAATTACACAGGATATAAGTTTTTTATTGGAATGGTCTAACAGCCATAACAAAGCTTTTTATTGGAAAGCTCTAACAGCCATAACAAGTCTGCGTGTCCTGAATGATTGTCACTGTGTTAAATGCAAAGGAAGATGTGTGCTGTTGCGAGACTAATGAGGTTTTTCTGTACTTGCGCCCGTGATACTTTTTTTTTTTGAACGCTACGACTGCTAGAAGTGTATAAGCCTAGAGTAGAAAGAAAAGAACACTACAATTCTGAACCCAGCGGCTATGCTATTCAGGCTGAATTCATGGTCATGCAAGCCGAATTTTTGTTAAGACATTTTCATGGTTGTTGTCATACTTAATTAACTGCAAGTAAAGAACATTCACGCAGCTGTTTCTGTACGCTGCAGTATTGCAACTCCTTGGTTGCTGCAAGCAGCTCAAGGTTAATTGCATGCATGCGATAGCTGGCGCGAGTTTTCTGTAACAAGAACTTTATGCATTAAAACAGCGCAGCCTGTAGAATATATTTTTCCAGAACACAAAGTGTCTCTGTTAATGGCATCACTCATCATCATTACCGTTTCCGTTCCTACATGTTTTTACGTCTTACTTTTTCGTTAGTGAAGTAAATATAATGTGCTGTAAACGATAATCACAAAAGCGCTATTTGCAAAGCATTGGGAAAAGTAGGTGAAGTGAAAATGTTCTAGTCTATGTACAGTTTCCACGAGAAACCTCTCTGACAAACCCAGGATTTTCCAGGTTGGTAGACAGCCTGTGCACTGTATGTTTTTGAGGTCATCTTGATTCTAACACTGGACGCCGACGGATCTATTACGTCGTTGCATTCTCCGAAAATGGTGGTGATTCATATGACCCGCTGTACTTTTGTCTAGCTCCCGCGCAAATTTTTTGTGTTTGGTATTAGCACTATGTAAGCCTATAAAAACATAATAAATATAGTTCTATGATACACCTCTCATGCCAGTGCGCTCTTGGCGATGACATCGAGGGCGAAAGCTTGCAAAATCTTGAACATCTCAACCAAGTGCCCGCTCTTGACATGGTCGTCAAGTACTTCCAACATCTCGTCGGCGCTCTTTCGCATAATCTGCGTCATCATTTTCATCTTGGCGGTGGTGAAGCTAGGATTTAGAACAGTCCGTACATTCTTCCATTCTTGACATGGAAGGTTATCGTGCTACAACAGAAAAATGGAGCAGAAGAGGAAAACGTCGAGGAAGAAGGCCGGAGGAGAAGGGGGCGAAAAAGGAGAAAGAAGAAGAGTTCTTGTTCGGCGGTAACCCGACCAGGTGGAAGCACACCCGGCAACGTCCCGAGGGTGCTACTGTCGGGTGAAACATCAGCATGGCGGTGTGCAACCAAAGCGTCAACATCCGGCATGAACGAGGCTTTCGGCAGCAATCCGAAGTAGCCGCTGGTGGGAAAGATTAACGACTTCGGCGGTGTCCCGGAGCAGAACATCCCAGACCAGCCTCAAGGAACACCCAAGGAATATCAACGGGAACGACTTCGGCGGTGTCCCGGAGCAGAACATCCCAGACCACCATCAAGGAACATCACTCATCAACAACCAAGCGCTGCTGAAAGCCAGACAGCACCAAGACCTTCTGCCACACAAGGACGGACTGAAAGTGAGACAATTTCTGACTTGTAAATTTGTGTATAGCTAGAACGTTTCTTATTTTTGTTAATTTTTTTTAATATATATATATATCTTGATCAAACCTCACGGTGTGACTGAATTCCACCTTCGGCGGTTTGACCTGAACCCATAACATCACAAAGGTGCATAAATCCGCGAAACGTTTACACCTGAAATAATCCGTGGATACCATCGATTTAGCAGTGGAAGAAGTTCAGGCCCAACTGGTTTTGTAGCCCGACCTAATCATTTAGTCGCTAAAAACAATTTTTTTATAGTCTGCAATCCTTAAGCTATTCTCAGTACAGTAACATTTGCTGTAGGATGGTACCTTTGACGTGCGTAGCTTTGTCAGTGCAAAAATACGAGTACCTTATTGTCCGGAATTTTGTCCTTAAACTATACATGTTTGAAGTTGAAATTTTACGCGGTGCGGACTATGTACAAGGTGCGGCTCTAAGGACAAACACATTGGGCACGTCTTGAAAAATTCGAATTCCAGAAGTACATATCTAAAGTTGGAAACGCGAACGTAGTTTCGCAAGAAGTTTTTTATATATCTTTCAAAACTGAAGTCATTGGTGGTAAAATGTTAAAACTAGAGCAAAAAAGGTGGCAGTGCATCTCCTATGTCCTTTACTGGATATTCGTTTTCTGCACACTGGTTGGTGAGTTTGAGACCAGGTGGCCACTGTTCTTATATTTTGTTAAAAGTATTAATTATCGATTATTTTGGGCATTACAGGGCTCTGCTCTTAGTTTTTCATGTTTTGCGTTAAACTCTTCGACGTCGTCGCGAGGAGGGACTGGAGTACGGCCATCCAGTCCCAGACGTCCAGGCTTGAGTCCAAGTCCTTCAGAGGGCTCCCCGACCAGCTACCCAACCAGACTCGGTGACTATAGGACAAAGGAAGTACACAGCCTACGGTATTGCTTGATTTTTAATATTTTACTATATCAGAATTGAGCTCTGAAATTAGACATGAAACTTCTGGCAAAACTGTAAGCTAGGAGTTCAAAGTGCACAAGGCGTGCCATATGTTTTAGTCCCTACGGCCGCACCCTGTGCAAGACTACACAATAATTTTTTTTTTCAAAATAGTTTATCATGACAGGGCGTGAAAGATATTCTGAATGACAGAGTATGTAACGTAATGTTTAAACCCTGAGTCTGGGAAGGAAACCTGAAGATATGGCAGCGGGGACCCAGAATGGCGACCGACCATTCTAATATATCTTCAAGTTTCCTTACTAGTTTCAGGGTTTAAACATCATGGTTAATACGCACCAGCTCTCCTGCGCGTTGAACATTTTTTTTCACAAAAAGCATAGGTTGATGATAATATATGTGGGATACGAGCTCACTTGTAGGCTAATAAATAGCACATTTGTTAAAGGTGTGCTATGTATGAGAACAGTTTATGTGCGAGCTGACACCAAGTTGGAACTATCCTTTGGGTTGGGACTTTGCACTGGGTGCGGTCTATCTGAGCAATGTTTTTTTTTTTATCGACCAAAATATGCTTATCCGGATTGTACATTCAGTGCAGACTATAATTTGAGAAATACATTATACATATTCCGTCTTGTGTTTAGTGATTAATCTGAGAAACTTTGACTAAAAAGGATTGTGTTTTAATATCTTACATTCAGCAACTTTGGTTTCGAAAATCATATAATAATTGGGAAGTTTTTCTTATGAGCAAAGAAAGTAATTTGAAGGATAGCTTGTTTCGTTACTAGAAACATGACTATTGGGTTGATCGTGGAAAAGAGGAAATAGGGGCGTTCAGTCGAGAGTTCTGTGAATGTGCAGATCCGAGCGTCAATCGATCCGTTCTAGCGGCTTTATGAAGCGGCGTCCGTATTGGATCGAGTACTTCGTTTTGCAACTTTCCACGCTATAATTTGCAAAGCTCACACGATGCCATGTTTCCTTTTCGTAACACTGCCAGTAGCAGCGGCCTACGATAGTGTGTTCAGTTTCATACAGATCGCCACTGTACCTTAGTCAATTACAATTATTTACATGACAATCTTTTTTTCTAAAACTGCTACTGTTTATAGATTGAGAAAGCCCAAAAGCAGTTGCACTAGTTTGCGGTTATCGTTCGTGGGTTTTAGTGCAACATCGAAGGATGGGACCTTTTATCCCCCATCTGTAAGTTTCCATTACAGTATGCTTACTACAATGGGTGATGAACATGCGGCAACACATGGGAAATTTAATAACTACGGATAAGCAGCTCATCGCACGTATCCATGAGAACGCCCCAAAAAACGTCAGTTAGAAAAATTCTCCAAGTCGTGAAGAGTGCGAACAAGAATAGCTATACTAATCGCCTTGGAGAGACATGTTGTCGCTCGCAAACGGCTCGACGTCAACGATGAAATCTGGGCGATCATAGAAGGTGGTCGCTTCTTTGATGAAACACTGCTTTGTCATGTCCAGATCCGTGAGCACCAGGTAATGTACCCCGGCCTTGTAGAAGCCAAAGACCTTTCCGTACGTCCTACTCCAACGCTCCATCACCTGTGCGGGATCTAAACCTGTTAATCTGTGACCCGTGACGCAATCTAATCAGCGCGTCATATCTTTCTAATGAATATGTTCTATGCTGCACTCTTAAAATAGCATGCAGGAGCGCAACAGTTTATCGGCATTCAGGATACAAGAATTGAATTCTTCACCATATTCCTTAGATCTTTTTTTTTTCAACTTGAAAGCATAAATTAGCAGCATAACGCAGTTTCAATCGTACTAAAATAATTGGAGCATTTTTTTAGAATTGTTTGGTGACAACTTACATACTTCACTTTCATTATATATTAATAGCGCCCAGACGCAAGTGGTACTTTCTTCCCGAGTGATTATATCGTTTTATTTTATATTTCAAACAAAGAAAGGGCTTACGATTGTCCTGCCACATCAATCACAGGAGTTTGTGACAACGCATAGAATCCCAGAAAAATGGAATGCTATAGTCCCCCTTATCCCATCCTCTCCTATACGCTGAAGCCTCAAGCTGATCAAACACCACAATGTTGAGCACGTCAGTGCACTGGGGGGTCGAATAAACCATAATGAAAACGAGCGTTTTTTTTTTTTTTCAAACTTCGATAAGGAACACTGTTGAAAGAAACTAGAAACTCGCACACGTTATAAAGATAGACGTCAAGCTTTTCAGAAAGACAAGCAATGAAAGTCAATATGCATTCACAACCAATTTTGCTCCAACATCTAGTTTCATGCAAGGTTCAGTTTACCTGGCAAAGCAGGGTACCGCGTCTCTAAGCACACACTCATCCCAGTATTGCTGGTACTTCCCTCTGTATCGCATACTGAAGTGGGTAAAGACATTATCTGGAAAGCCCACCTCGAGTCGATCCTTTTTGAGTTGCATCCATTTCCCCCATATGAGATCGGGTTTGGGTCCTGGAATTGCGTGTCTGCTGAACAGTGTGTGCTTTCTCCCTTTGTCCAGAATCCAAACACAGATTGTGGCCAACATTATCGCCAGCCCTGTCACTGCTAACTTCAGCGGCGAAGTATTTGATAGTGACATCTGCAGTCTGCAAAATGTCATGGCAGCACTCATAAATAAACATATTAATTTTCTTTTATACAAATCGTTTTATGTCTTGTAGCGGTTTTGAGTTGCTAGATATTTTTATGTCAATATTAGCAACATAGTAACGAAGCTTGGAGCTGTCTCTAGCATCAGTTCAAGTGACAATCAGTACCAGCGCACAATTTAATTTCACGAATTTAGCTTTTAGAAATTCAATGTGGTCCTTTCAACAAGTAAGCCTGCCAGCATGAAGCTAACTGAAAAAGGAAACTTTTAGACGCACGGTATCATTGTAAATTTATATTTCACGCATGGGAACATATTACAGTTTTGTTAAATCGCGTGACCTATCGATAACCGCAAAATGGTACTCAAACAAACAATGTGCAAAACCCACCAGTAATTTATACTAGCTCAATAGTTCAACTACGGCATCGCGAGAGACATCGTTACTTTCGAGTCACTTTCTCAAATTAAAGATTAACACGTTTTTCTGGTTTATTGTTACAGCAATGCATGAGTGCCATATTTCAAGAATAATGTCCATGCAGAAACTGAACTTTAATAAAGTTATCTTTTTACGGTTTTACCTAAATGCCACAAAACAAAATGCAAAGAATTCACACACACAAAAAAAAATTCATGTGGCTTGCCGCCTAGAAATACGAAAGAATTGAAGTGTAACGTTTTCTAAGCCTTGGGAAGAAAAAGTAATGAGTAACGAAACTCCATCACCCATTACTGAAAATAAGTACGTTACCCGTTACCCTTTTTTTAAAAAGTAACTAGTACATTACACAGAATGGTTAATTTCCACCAGCTCGCCTGCGCACTCACTACAATATCATTGATATATTTAATATCGCTGGTTATTTATCATTCACCGAATCTCAACACAGGAGGTCTATATACGTTTATAACGCGCGATGCCAAAGCAAACTAAGCTGTTTAAGCTTTTTTCTTCTTTTTTTCTGGGGGGGGGGGCGGATTTGTTACTTCTTTTGGCGATGCTGAGCCTGAGTATCTAAGCAGTGACGTAACTAGAAACCCATATTTGTTCCCCAGATTCCTCGACACCATCAAACACGGTGTTTAAAAAAAGTATCCCAGATTCTAGAAATAACTCTTCGTTACGCACGCACCAACGGGATGTCTACGAATAAGCCCGCATCTTCCCTAACCAGAAGCAAGCAGTGCGCGTGCGCAGAAACCAGATCATCTCGAGGTAAAACACCCGCGCACGCGACGTACCGAAAGCAGCGCCACCACAGAGGTTTGACGTCAGAGCCGCTCGTTGGTCTATAAGCGTATCATGTCTATAAGATTGCAAATTTAGTCCTTTGCTGTGGGCAGTTCACATCCGGTCTACTCAGAAAAAAAATTTAAGACAAGCTCAAGAAGTGGCTCCGTCACCATGTCAACTTCAATTGGGCTGACCTTCCATGTTACCGCTGCTGCATGACACGGAGGTGGTTCCTATCTGAAGTAGAGCTCCTCTATTGGTCCCTCTTTCCCAGCTTACCATCCTCTGACTAGCATACGTATACTATATCAGTTTCACCTTAGGTTCGAGCCACGGTGGAAGAAGAAAGGGTTTCTGAACAGCACCGCCTCGCCACGAAGCAAGGATCTCGAAGCCTCACCCAATTTTTTGACAAACGTCATGTGATGGCGCGGCATGACAGGGACTTAAAGAACAGTCTTTATTCGCGCACGCGTTTTCAAGGCCACGAAGCGTGCGACCGCAAGTGCGCGCGGAGTAACAAGCAGACAGTGCCCCGACGGGAGATGTGCCTGAGCCCGAATGGAATTTTACCTCCCTTTCTGGCTATGCTTCGATACTTCTTCCTTCCACCGTGGTTCGAGCACAGCCGCACATGCGAGTCGATGAGGCCAATCAAGCAGAGTCAAACCTGCAAAGTCACGACGTTCGTCCTCCCTCTCCACGTGTGCTATCACTGGCTAATCCAACCATGCAGAATGCATAAGCCGTCACCTTGATATCTTCAAATCGGTGCGACCGTGTTTGTAGGTCTTCTAGCCGTTGGCTTCATTCAAACTTGTAGTAAAACGAAATGCACTACTGGCAGTAACGCACCATGGTTATGGACCTTGCTGCACTTATTATGAAACAAAAATGATACTTCCACCTATAGTTACGACAGAGTGATGTAATACATTTTTAGCCGAGAACAAGGAGGGGTTCAAGGTGGTGATCACCCTAAAGGCGAATTTGGCAAAACCATAGACGGGCTCTTAGTTTTTTGTCGAAATACACAAGAATCTAAATTCGACTGAATATCAGTTTTATCTTATGCTGTTTCGGGAATATAGTGGTAATAATAATCCCTATTTTCATTGGCTCAAGAGAACTGATCAACCGAAGAAATGCAACGGCCCGTACCATGGAGGCCCGCGGGGTAGCGTCTAGTGAGGCTTATTATACAACGATATCTAAAAGTTGACGACGACAGGATCTTCTGGTCATTGCAAAAACGGTTGCTAAAATCTCGGAGTTTTAGTGAAAGTATATGTGGCCAGCCTGCGAGCCGAGGAAACTTTGCGTGCTGTTGGATCGATGTCCCACATTTTGAGGACCTAGCAGCCTAATGACGTTAGAACCTTAACTATGAATTCTTATTTAATGCGGAATAAAGTGGATTCTTCAATGAGAGTAAAAGATACTCGCTGACAAAAAACAAATGCTTTGTTGAATGGGTCAAACATGATACTGCTATTCCCAGAGTGTGGTTCGCTCAATCGCAAGAACGCAATCATCAACCAAGGTTGACCCTTGGTTACCTGTTTTGTTCTAAATGTACTATAATACAAAAGATGTAAAGAAAGTTCAAAGGTACAGATATCCTTTCCGTGGTTAATGTTGCTCTTTTACTTCTCACCAATTTTAAAAGGTGGGGGCTGCGAACAATTCTGGGTATCATTCCACACTAAAACAGGGGAAACCAACAACATTCAGATATGTTTTATTTCATACATTTCTTGTTCTCGTGGAGACAAAGACTCCGACCTAAACTGCGTATCTTACGTGCTCATGCATTGTTTCCTCCAGGAGATGCACAATTATTTGTGACAGCTAGTGCATAGCAGTATCATTGTAAATTTATATTTCACGCATGGGAACATATCACAGTTTTGTTAAATCGCGTAACCTATCGATAACCGCAAAATGGTACTCAAACAAACAATGTGCAAAACCCACCAGTAATTTATACTAGCTCAATAGTTCAACTACGGCATCGCGAGAGACATCGTTACTTTCGAGTCACTTTCTCAAATTAAAGATTAACACGTTTTTCTGGTTTATTGTTACAGCAATGCATGAGTGCCATATTTCAAGAATAATGTCCATGCAGAAACTGAACTTTAATAAAGTTATCTTTTTACATTTTTACCTAAATGCCACAAAACAAAATGCAAAGAATTCACACACACAAAAAAAAAAAAATTCATGTGGCTTGCCGCCTAGAAATACGAAAGAATTGAAGTGTAACGTTTTCTAAGCCTTGGGAAGAAAAAGTAATGAGTAACGAAACTCCATCACCCATTACTGAAAATAAGTACGTTACCCGTTACCCTTTTTTTAAAAAGTAACTAGTACATTACACATTACCCTACAAAAGTAACGCATTATCATTAAAGCCGTTACTTCTAACTCGTTACTGCCAGTACCGCGTATTAACTCCAAGTCCTGCCATACGAACTAACAGGACTTTACATACTACCATAATAAATTTCCAATAAACTATACTTCGTTTCAGCTTCGGTCCAGACGCAGCCAAAGCTACAAGCGCGAGCTCCGGGCTTTCAGCATCCCTGCCAAGCACACGCGCTCGTGCAGTGCAAGCACTGTTCTGGGCCACATGCTCGCGCTTGTAGCATCGGCTGCGTCTGTACCGAAGCTGAAACGAAGTATAGTTGTAGTCGCATTATTTTCAATATGTGACTATGGTCTTAGTACGTACACCCATGAGCGATATGAAGGTGAACAGCCGTCTTCTTGTTTTTAACGCTCCTGAAAGTTTTCGAACAAGCTCTGTTCCAGAAAAGGCTAGAACGCAAAGTTTAGACCCCATACCACGCACCATTTGAGACGTTGAGAATTAATATAGTTTTAGGGAGCCGTAAAACAGGCGAGAAACCATATAAGGTATTCAACTTCATATTGTCGCGGCGAGTGTACTTAATGCTCTCTAAGTCGTAATCTTTCTTTATAAAGTGTAATAATTATTTATATATCGTGTAAACTATTCCGTGTTCTCATTTATTTGTTTTAACCTTTTTGAGGTATATCCTGAGCCTTACGTGCTTGGACTTTTAGATTATTTTAAGGTGTACTCTATGTTCGCGTTTTAGTGTTTTTCTAGTGGGTTCCAAACTTGCAGTATTGGTGCGTATTGTATATCGTGAAACATGATACACAGCTAAAAAAAAGAAAGCTATAACAGGGATTCAATCCCAGTGAGTTGAAACTGGGTATATTCCCAATCTCTGCAAAGAAATCATTTTTGAGTTCAAACTTCATGGCTGCCTATATTATGATGACTTTCCATCTACTACGCGAAGAGATGCTTTCATTCCGCGTACTGTGTGAAAACAAAACCCTTGAACGCGGGGGCACGACATTGCGTACGACACAATTTACATACCCATCCCAGGTAGCACGCCAGAGGAATGCCCAACTTGGGCAAAGGTCTGGCAAACATAAGGGCCCAACTTTGGCGCAGTTCGGTTTTTGCACCATGGCATTCATCAGTGCCAAAGTACGGTGCCTAACTATAGCCTAAGTTGGGCGATCCTATGGCATGCCAAAGTTTGGCTCTTCTCCGGTACGCCAGAGGAGTGCCAAAGTTGGTGCCATACTTGAGCCATAACTGCCATAGTAAATCCTAATCTGGGAATTCGGGGCATGCCAAGGTTTGGCATTTCTCTGGTCTGCCAGAGGAGCGCCAAAGTTGGTGCCATACTTCAGCCAGAACTGCC